TAATGTCGGAGATATTTCAATATCTCCATGGCAACAAAACGAAGAAATTGCTGAACGACTTGCTTCTATATGGAAATGGAATTATATACCGCCGATCGAAAATAATTATATTAGTATGTAATATTTTAATTAACAAATAAGATATTGTTAAAGAAGATATGCTTTTGTTGAAAAGAGAGTATAATTATATTTTCTATTTTGAAGATATCGAGTTTCATGAAGCTGTATATCCAATCAGAGTCTCTATTTATGAAATACATAATCCTGGAAACGTAATTCAAATTTGGGCTCAAGATTCTAATAATCAGTGGTTCAAGTTGTGGGATGAATGGTCTAAGATTGTACCGCTGACATCAAGATTATTTTCTCCACCGTTGTCGCATCCATGTAACTTTAAAACCAAAATGCTCAAACTAGTATTTAAGAACAGTTTACAGTTCTCTTACACAAAGTTAGATGCTGTGATGCTCATCGGTACTTCAGAATTGATCCTTTCTAGAAATCCTAACGAAAGCTTAACTAATTTGTTAAAAAGAATAAACTGCATGTTCTCTTCATGCCATGACGATGTTCATAATTTAACAGCAGATTTAAAAAGTGCACACTTGGATATAGTTCATCTGCAAGAAAATTTTCCTGAATATTGTGTTATTTGCAGAAGGTATTATTATCGTCGACATTAGATAATATGTAAATCCTTTTTTTTATTAATAATGAAAATAAATTTGTTCCGATAACATTTGCAGCGATACTTATAAGAGTATAATATTAAAGCACAAAAAGATATCTCAAAAGATAATACCTGGTTATGTGCAACCTAATGGAGAGAAGAACTCGCGTCATATTTTATTAAAAAGTGATTTTTTAAAATCAGTTTTTAATTTCTTTAAATCACTTTTTAATTGGGCAAAGCAAATAAAACTCTTTTCAGATAAATCCAAGGAGCTTTGCAATTTGTCTACCTTTCCTGTAAAGTATTCCAAGAAGTATATTTCTCATAATAATATTTATTGTAATGTCATCTCAAATATTAAAGTTTTATATTTTATTTTTACAGGATGAAATGCTTTCAGATAAATCCAAGGAGGTTTGCAATTTGTCTACCCTTCCTGTAAAGTATTCCAAGAAGTCTATTTCTCATAATAATATTTATTGTAATGTCATCTCGAATATTAAAGTTTTATATTTTATTTTTACAGGATGAAATACTTTCAGATAAATCCCAGGAGCTTTGTAATTTGTCTACTCTTTCTGTAAAGTATTTTTTAAGAAGTCTATTTCTCAATAATATTTATTGTAATGTCATCTCGAATATTAAAGTTTTATATTTTATTTTTACAGGATGAAATACTACTAAAGATATTTAAAAACTTAGATTTGATAACGTTATGCCGTGTGAGTAGAGTAAATTGGTACTTCAATAATTTAATACGAGACCCTAAACTTTATACACGTTTAAACATGCGACGTGTATCTTATAGATACATTTGCGATATGTTTTGTTATTTTACACCTAGATGTAAATATTTGCAACAGTTAGATCTTACAGCAAGCAAATTTGATGTTAAAGATTTAAGTAAGTTTCTTGATAATTGCGGCATGCGTTTAACGCACTTAAAACTATATGACTGCGGCAAATCTGTTGACAATCAAGTCTTACTTAAAATTTCAGAGATATGCAAAAATTTGAAAGGTATGTATATGGTATACGTATAGCGTATATGATTGTTAAGATTATGAGTAAATTGCATATATCTAATACAAATTTTTCTTAGAATTGGATCTAAGTTATTGTTGTTACATAGACGACGAAGGATTTTCGTACCTTGAGAAGCTGAAAGGTTTGGAACTTTTAAACCTTTGTAGTACATATATAAAACCTAAACGTCTTTGCAAAATACTGCAAAAAAATCAACGGATGCGTGAGTTACATTCCATACATTATATTTATAAGAGTGCTACAATCACAGAAGCAGTTGTACTAGAGTTGGGAAATTCGTGTCGTAACTTGGAAGTAATAAATCCATTGGACGCACGTGAGCTTACATCTCAGGGTATTAATGCTCTCACTAACTGTAAGAATTTACGAAAAGTGCATCTGTAAGTATGTGTGCTACATTTTTTTTTAAAATACATATTATTGTATTCTTTATCGAAATTTGTTTGCTTCTCTTGCGAGCATCTTTAAAAAGTTACATGAATTTTCTCTTTGCAATTAAAGTACTGTACTAATTATATCATTTTTGTTACAGAAGCGGATGTAACCCATCTGGGTACTCATCTGAGTATCCAGTTGAGAGCTTATTTAGACTTCTTTCCTCTTATCAAAACTTGCAAGAGGTGTATTTGTCTATGTTTTACCTTACTAGTCACAATTTAGAATTGCTAGCGCAGTGCAAAAACTTGAAAAAGTTATATTTTGATTTTGTGAACTTTCATACACCTGATAAATATTCCGTTATTTTCGAACAATGTCCTAAACTGCAAGAGGTTTATCTCATATACTGTAAAATAAGCGATCGGTTGGTTAATCAATGGAAGGAAAGGTATCCGCATGTGTCCGTCTATACATTCCGCTAATAATTTGAATGGTTTTTGTTTACTAGTTTAAGACATATCTCAATTTACTTTTTACTTACGTTTTCTTTTTAAATTTTTATACTTACTTTGTAAAAATTATCTGGTAAATTAGGTTGTAAAAGAAGTTAATGTTTAATAAAAACAAAATATTTATATTTATTTATAATTTTGTTATTTTCGAACGCAGTTTTATCTTCTTTTTCTTTTTCATAATTTGACTTTCTTTGGGTGATCGTGTAATTTTTTTATTTAAAATAATTGTTCGACGAGATACTGCAAAAAAGCTACATTAGTAACATTGTCAGTAAATTTTTGATATTTTTTTCCACAACCGTATGTCTCTTTCAAGAATTTATTTACAAATATATCTTTTGTGATACTTTTTCTAGCCACAGTTACTAAAATAAAAACAGTTTCTAAAACAGCTTTCTGTAAAAATTTATTTTTATACTGTTCTAAAACTAAACTCATAAAAGCTACTATAAATATTGGCAGAATTTGTCTGCTATTTCTTGGTAAAAATTACACTATAATTATTATGCATTTAATTTTTAAATACTCAACCTTGCGCTCGTCGCAGAGTATATAATAAAAATAATTAAACATTTCAATTACTTATAACAATTGGATTTTGCAACTTTTTGTAACTTAAAATATTTTTATAAAAAGATTGTCTCCTTAGCTTTAAAATGCCTCTTCAAAACAATTTTTACGACAAGTATAATTTATAAGTATAACCGCTTAAACCTCTGGCCACCATATGTGCCACAGCGACTTTCTACTTTCTATTGAGCAACATTTTCTTCAAGGCGGATGAGGGTGGACGATGCGCGATGCTGATCGATTTCGCGCTTATTAGATATTCGACGCTCGTCGTCGATCTCTCTACGTATCTTTACAACTGTTGCTGGAATGAAGAGATACGAGAGAAATTTTTCGACATCATGCGGGCTTATCGCGATGCGCTGATGAAGTATTTGCTGGACGCTGGCGTTCAAGACATTGAGAAATATTCATATAACGCTCTATTGGACGATTTTAGGAGGGGCGCTCTCTTCGGTTTTATTGTCGTATCCCATTTTTTGCCGACAATATTGGGATATCTCAAACCAGAAGCGATAGTACAAGACATGAATAGTCTAGGCGCATTGGGATGTGCAAAGAAGCATGACGGTGGAGACGAAGTATGTAAAATACTTGCTGATATATTACTGCATCTGAGAGATCTTGGCTGCTTGAAACATATTTTATATAATGTGAGATAATTCACATAAAATGCATATAAGATACAATTTATATCGATTAGTAACTATGAAGAATATACGTCGAAAAATTTTTAAGTAATCAGGTAATATAGATTTGTAATTATATTAAAGGCAAAGGATTTATTTTATAAATATTGTTGTCTCTCTCTCGTTGTCATTTCTATACGAAAAATAGTTACATTATAATACAAAGACCGAATTGCAGGTGTAATTAGAGGCGAAATATATTGAATCACATTCGACTTTATAGTGTCTTGTGCGGTATATTATGGATAAAATTGTATATCATAGTTAAAAACTTTGATATCGCAATAATATTTAATTCAAAGTCGTTAATTTAACTAAATTACCCAATCGAGTCAAAATAATACTGTTTTGTGTTAAAGTAATAAATCTCGACATACATGATAGTTAAAAATAACAAAAATGTTATTTAACACACAAGGTATTGGTTTAAATTTCATCCTTTAACTTTTAACAATGTAGGCAGTATTTTACAAGCGACTTAAATATTCTTACGTTAACAATGGTTAATAAATAATTTACTTTTAAAATTTGCATTTTCTACATGTACTTTTAATACTTATCAGCTCGTTTGAGAATAATTTATACTGTTGACGCAAGAATGTGATATCTACAAAATTTTCTACAGAATCTAGCAGAATTTTATTTTTTTGCATTATAAATGTACTTTATACGTAATCATGATAGTTATAAAGTCATAATAGTAACGTAGAGTTATTATTTGTTACAGCTAATGATCTTGCGTTCAATAAAACTATAATTTCTTGCAAGTTTCTTTGATAACAAAACTAGACTTGTGTAACGATCATTTCTGTCTTACAGAAGAAACAAAAGATATTTTACGAAAAATATCAAGCAACATCAAACCTAATACATATAAATAGTATGTCAATTATAGGACATTAATATGTCGTATAAGATTTTATCAATAGCTTCCAGACTATTAATAAAATACTACATATTATAAAAATATTGAAAAATATTGGAAATTATCAAAAATAAATAAAAAATTATTCAAAAACGATATATTAATAAATAAAATTAGTATTACATTGAAAATTATATAGGTAATTGTGAGTTTTGCATCACATTTGGTATTTTTGATTGATCGAATCAATTGGTTACTTGAGATTAATGTTTCCCAAAATGCTTTGTAAAAGTATCCACGGACTGTTTAAGATTCTTTTTATGCCTTTTTATCGTGTTTATAATGGTTAACAATGTGTCTGAATCTTGATGAAAATAAGTTTCTGCGAATTTTTTTACCTGAAACATATTAGTTGCAGATGTTTATTAATAATAACTTATTTTTATGCAGCGATTCCATAAAATTTAATATTTTTTAACATAATAATAACAATAAATATATATGTTATGCACAAAAATACATTTAATCCCTCAGCTGCGGAAGTATACATTACCAGTTAAAAGTATTGGATCGCATATGGAAAAGGATAAAAAATTTTATTTTAGTGCTATTATTGTATGCTTTGATAGGAATACTTTGAGAAAAAAAAACAAATATTACAATGATTGAATTAAATAATTATTGTTAATGACAATTTGAAACAACGCAATTAAATCATTAAGATACATAAATATTATAAAATTTTATTTTAAATTTTAATACTGTTATTTTATGATTTGATAGAAATATTTTGAGAAAAAACAAGGATCTTAATGACTTAATTGCGTTGTTTCAAATTGTCATCAATGATAATTATTCAAAAGTCAATCAAATTCTTGTGATCTTTGTTTTTTTTTTTCTCAAAGTATTACTATCAAAGCATAAAATAACAGTACTAAAATAAAATTTTATAACATTTATGTACATCTTTCTTCATTAAAATAACAACTTTTCTTTTCATATAGTGATACAATACTTTTGACTGGTATATATGTTGTAAACAATTGTCTTCTGTATGCAAAAGATATATATTACACTGAAAAAAAAATACTTAGACCCAAGAAAATATTTTTTTACATAGTACCAATGGCTTATTTATACTTAATATAATCACATATTTATTTAGAATTATATATTTTTACTTAATTTAAATAAATTATTATTTTACTTAATTTATATATATTATTTTTACTTAATTTAAGTAAAGATATCTAATTCTAAATAAATATGTGATTATATTAAGTAAATAAGCCATTGGTACTATGTGAAAAAATATTTTCTTAGATTTAAGTATTTTTTTTCAGTGTATATATTATGTATGTATAAATGTTCTTGAAAATTGACTATTAATTAAAAAGGTATGTATATTTACATATTATTAATAGAAAAAGTATAAATATGAATCAAGAATCATAAAATTTACCTTGGATATTTGTTGGTTAGAAAAAACACTCCAAATAATATTTTGTATTGTTAGGTAGGTAGGAAGTGATCTGTAAGAGCAAAATTACATATTCATAATTAATGTATACGATAAATTTATTTAAAGAAAATAGAATATATATTTATAAAAAGAAATGTTATTACCTGGGTTTTATATTATCAAAATTTTCTAATATGTAGTCAAGGACCAAATCGTTGCGTGCATGGTTTTGAAGAATTAAATTGAAGATAAATGCATGATCTATATGGTTAAATAATGTAGTATTCGATGCTATAATATTCAAATAGTTGATAATGATATTAGGATTTTCAGCGCAATTCAATGTTTTCCAAAGTTTCTTATCAGATATTCGCTGATATAGTTCTATCATTTTCTCCCAAGTAGTCCTATTAGCTACCGTCAAACCAAAGCAATACGTCCAATCTTGCCACCATTGTGGAACTCTAAAACATATATGTCTATATAGAAAAGAGGTACATGTATTTTATATATATAGCCGACATTTTTAATTATATCAAATTTTGTATTTTTTTTTGTTCTGTTAGGTTAGGTAATCTCTTAGTCTGCAAAATTAAGTTCCTGCCGTGCGTTGCTCTATCATCTCTATATTTGCCATGTGACCATAAGACTACGCTACACTGAATAAATAAATGAAAGATAATTTCATTGATAACGCCACTTGTTATTTTATACATATATTTTTACTTGTTTCACATATTTATTTTATTAATTAGAGATTAGAACAAAAATTGAAATTAAGGAGAAACAAAGAGAATGTCTGATTTCGAAGACTTGAATAAATAAGAAATTGGCCATATTTTATATGCATGCGTTCGCAACACACACATACAAAAACACAAATTATGAGATAATCGGGATCATAGAAAGATCGTAAGAAATTACTTGTGGGTATCAGGATTTGTGAGATGTTCGCTCAATTTAACGGCAGCCCTTCTCTTGCATTCCGCGTGACCGACGGTACATGCCCATTTCGTGGCATCTAGCCTTAGCATCTTTGTGATATCGTCATCATTAGGATTTTCTTCGTATCCTATCTTCTGAAGAAGCCCATCGAAAATTTCTGATATGTATGACTAGAAATCATAAGATAATGTTAAATTTTATATTGGTTTGTTGGTACATGCAAAGTGACGTGATTCATATACAGATATACATATTTCGTTATATATGTATAGTGCTTTGTTAAAACATTCACTATCATAAAAATCATCGGCGAGTTTGCGTCCGACTTTTATTAAAACCCATCTATTTATATTAATGCAGATTAAGATTGGTTCATGACATCTTAAAATTGTACTGAAGACGGTTTTAAATATAAGCATCGACTATGAATACCAGACATAATGCCTACCTTTGAAAGTATATTATTTGCGAAGCAATAATAATTTGATAAGGTAGAGAATGTGTATTATATATAGACTGGATAAATTAAAGATCCAACTATAAAACTAAAACATTATTTTTATATTTATAAAATTTGTCATTATATACCTTGAAATCTTTACTCTCTGGCAGTGAAAAGTAATTCGATAACTCTGTTAAAATTCGGAACATTGGACGCCATGCCACGTAATCTCTCTCTCGTCTTAGATAACTTATAAGATTCATAAATACGGAACTATCTAATTGGTCTTCCAGCAAAAAGGCAAATGCATCATCGACAATTTGAGCACGATTGAGAACATGTATTTTCGTGTATTCTTCAGAATTCAAGTAACGTATGATTCTTTCCATATTTGTAGTATCGTAATAGACACGACAGTATGCTGTCGAATTATCCATTAAATTTATTATTAGATCTTATTTAAAATTATCAAGATATATTTCCAAATACTGCCATTTTATCGTAACTAACAAACTAATGTAGTGTGTAACTTGCAAATATTACAGAAAAAATACATTAATAAAATATTTAGCAAGGTTTCGAAAAATATAATTATATGAATTTCCTTAAAGCTATTATATGAATTATATGAATTTCCTTAAAGCTATAATAGAGGAAAGTCCCCTATTATGAGATAGTCTCCTAATATGCGACAGCGAGGTTTCTGCTAAACTAATAGGCCCTATCTGTTGGTTCTACCATGAACTTATTGCCCTTGGGGTAAAACCTATTTAGTGGAAAATTCATTGTTTGATCGTGCGTGTAGTCGTTGCAGATAAAGAAATTCTGAAATTGGATGTTGTCAAGTGCCATGGATATGAGTCTTTAAACCTTTTTTATTATATAATTAATAAATATTTGGCAATAAGTTCTGCATGCAGTGATAGAGTAAGGTCGTATTAATAGGAAAATACGGGATATGTTAAGTTGCTCAATTGTAGAGATTAGATTTGGTGATCGTGAAACCGCAAGGCGTGGTGCTCGTAACATGAGATACTCAGGGTACTCCTGGGTTGCTGGAGTATGAAAGTTATTGTATAGTAATAAAAGAAGAGAAAATACTATATTAACTAAGGGAAGGTTTATACGAATTTATAAGACTGTGCTGACCTTGATTTGAGAGGAAAGGGTGGAGGGGGAAGATTAGGTACAATATTGAGTATAAGTGGGTTTACGATTGTTGCAAATATGCTTCTGCAATGCATCACATGTGTATTTGAGAAACATTAAATAAAGGTTTTTAATAGTAATACTGATGTAGTTTGCACTTTATTAGCGATTTCCCGGGGTCTCTCATATTAGGAGCACACTTTTGCGATTTTGCCGAAAGCTCATTTTTTACATTTTTCTAATTTTCAGCAAAATTAATATTTAAATTAAATTTTACATTTTAGCATCTTAAAGCTTATTAAATTCCCTTCAAAATGACTTACTATATTTTTCAATTCTGCCCATAGACTTCCGGCATCACACAAAATAGATATGGTATCTCATAATCGAGTACTTTCCTCTATAAATGGACAAATATATAAAAACTTGAATGATGTAAACCTTCGTAATGATAGAACAAATAAGATAAATAAAAGAACGTAATGTTCAATAATTTATACCAGTTTGTTGTACATTAACAATAATCCAATCTCTTGTATTAATTTCCACTCTACTAGTTTGATTTGGTCCTAACCAATTATTGGGCATAGTACGGGAGAAATCCAAATTGCTCTGGTCGGTGTAGGTCATGGGTATCCACCATTCATTATTATTGATACGTTTAGTTGCGCGGAAACATTTTTGTGTTACTGCTACTTCGCCAGTTTCGTAATTTATCGTCACATTTAGCACAGGATAACGATTTTGGTTTATCCACGTGTCCATCACATCTTTTATTTTAAAATCTTGTTGTTCATGCATATAAGGGATATAAGGGGCCATCTGTAGAGCACTTTGCATGGCGTTCCACAAATCATCAGAAGTGACCGACCCAAATGAACTAAATTTGAGAAATAACATTGTTATTAGCTATAATACATATAATACATATGTCTATTTTACTATTATGGAATCAACGTAAGCATTATTGTACAATTTAATTAATACATATCTAGAAACTAATAATATAATTTGAAACTAGCTTAGTCAAATTATAATTAAGAAACAAAATATATGGCCTCTAACGAGTAGCATTGGATATTGAACGCAGTAGCATTGGTTCATTTTTTTGATTACATACTATTTTCCAACGCAAATACAAGAAACATATTATATTTATGATATTTAATTCTAGTTACAGTACGAGCCTAAAAATATTAATTAGAATGAAAACGACAATGTGACAATTGACAAAGTCAAGCGGTCTCGCTGATCGGAGTGTGGCGAGTTAAGGATTCGAAATTAAGTGTTGCTAGTTAGGATTAATATTCCGATATGTGATAATTATTTTATACGACATTATACACACTTACTTTTTGCCTAAATATGTGATGATACCCTTTCGAAATACCTTTTCGCCTACTGCATGATATAACATGCGCAATATTGCTGGAGCTATGATAAATCGCGTCATAAATTACCGATTAATAATATACATAAAGTGGATTATATGGATAAAATTAAGATATATATAAATATATTGCGCAAAAAGAGAATTTGTTTGCTATTAACCGTCTGTTCTCTTTTTTTGTGCTGCCTGCATTAAGGTATTTACCAGACGATAATTTAATTATATTTTCATAATCTTACCTTTGTTAAAAACTTCGTTACCGAAGAGTTCATTGTACTCCAAAGTATTGTGAAGTTTCAATGTAATAGAATCCAAAGAGCCAGTATCTAAATAGAGAGAATCGTGCATGCGTTCAGTCACGAGAAAATCCATTGTCCGCCAGTCTTCAAATATCTGCAGAAAAAAATCCTCTGATATGACTGAATATAGAAATTTGAGGAAAAGTTTGTATTAAGAATATAAACTAGTTTGTCTACCGCTTCCAAAAACTTTACTGTTATAATTTTTATTATGATATATTTAGATAAAATATTAATCCTTTTTTAGCGTCTAATCTTTTTTTAGAAGATTATATTTAGTTTAATTATTTTTTAAAATGTTAGAGATTATGGAATACGAATATGAAATCAAAATATAAAAATTCGAAATTTGAATATTATTATATTATTAATTGTTGAGTATAGCGGCTGTAAAAAAAATAAAATATTTTCTGATTCTAATGAAACTATTATAGTTATATTCCTAAGATTGTTAAATATGAATGGAATATTAAAATATAACATTAAAAGTGGCAAATATTTAACGCGGCAGATGCTAAAAAAAAAATATTCTCCAATTTTATTAAAAATTTGTTTTAAATTGTTTGCATAATTATTTGAAAAGAAAAACGCGTTACAATCTTCTTTAATAATTCTAGATTGAAGAGAACGTGCCATTATTTATTCAGTTCCATCTTGATACATCTTAAGAAAATATGAAAATATGTATACTTTTTTTTATCGATTTTATTTTGATCTCATTGTTAGCGATTGAAATGTATTTCTCTAGTTAATGAGTAACTTGCATTAGTAATATTAAACAACCTTGTTGAGGAAATACGCCTCGAAGAACGCAGCAAATCCTTCGCTTATCCACACGTGGGACCACCAAGATGGGGTGACGTAATTGCTGAACCATTGATGTACGAGTTTATTTGCTACTAACGACGCTACTTCTCTTCTCCGAAATGTGGGATCTGTGCTTTCATCGTAGACAACTTTTGATTCGCTGAAAGACATAACATAATATAATACACAAAAATGTAATTAAGAAAAGTCTTTCCTTATCGCTGGCATACAGTCTAATGTGTTTCCAAGTAACTACAGTATTTATATTCAAGTAACTATATTTTCTTACGTGAATAACTTAGACAGATAGTTTGAAATTCTTTCGTTTTGTACACGTATGATATATGTATGTACATAAAGATATGGGGATGGAACAAAAGGGTAACATACACATTAATTAAATACGCTAATTTGTTTAAGACAATCTAAGAATAAAAATATGCATCTTTTGAATATCCGTGAAGTACACACGTGTTTTCAACTATCAAATTTTGAATGCTAAAAGTTATTGGCCAGCTCTAATAGCTTAATATTATAATCCTTTTCTTATGTATATACTAATCCTTCTAATTATGTATATTACTCGTAAATGATGAGTCCCCAAGTTTCCATGCCGTTGACGGGATAATTTGGTACCATAACGTGATCTATTTTTGTTGTTCCTTTGAATCTGTCGGTATACCATTCCAGCAGCGGCATGACCTTTTCGGCAATAGTACGCACGAATCTTGCTTGCGGTTGCAAAGACCATTTGCACCACACGCTGACTGCGTTTCCAACGCGAAAGAAATTAGGTACAATCACAATTCCCACGAGATAAGTGGACATTGTAGGAGTGTGATGGAAGTGTGTCCACATCATGCCATTTCCTACGTTGTACTGCTTTTGCACCAGCATATTCGACATTACTTTATATTCCTGACGATGCATGACGGAGATGCTGAAGGTAGCTTTTAACCCTGGTTCGTCCCAACATGGAAACATTCGTCTGGCGCTATTTGGTTTGAAGAACGTTGCGGCCAATCTGTAATTTAATAAAATTGTTTAAATAACGACAAATTCACCATTCATGGCGAGTAGAACATAAGAATTATAGAGATCATTAGTTATTATTTCTTATTATATTATATGTATAATAATTATTTTGTTGAGAGTAGAAACAGAAATACTACATATATTGCCATGCCGTGTCATTTCAAACTGAAGTTAAACTCTTTTAAACATTGCATGCACTTCTTGCAAATATTACATACTGGAAAATGGAAATTTTAATAATTACGTAGCTACATGTTTTAGATGTCTTGTCGAGTTCTATGTGTTATAGATTGATAACGATGAAAGTAATAAGTAAAAGAAGGTAATAAGCAAAAGTAATAAATAAGGGCTGTGGTAAATAACGTTTATGTTATAAGTATATTTTTAATATTTCCAATATTTGCTTACGTGTTGTCTCCTTTTTGGTCTGTGTACAGAATTTTCATAAAGCCATTTTTTGGAAAATCACCCTTAGGAAAATTACCAACAAACTGCATTTTTAAAATGTAAATACCGCTGCACAATACTTCGTTGAAATGTAGCGTCAATATATTTGTTTCATTGTTATAAATATGTTGCTTCGGTTTATATATTATAGTGCCGTTAATCAGCGTTGTCGCCGCTTTATTTATTTTTAATTCTTGCGAGTGTAAGCTTATTTTTGACGATGTGTAAGTAATATTGATAATAACACTGGTTTCACCGTGAAAAGTAATGTTGCCTTTTTTGAGATGTGGGATCAAACTGATGTTATATATAACTGGTACTGTGTTGTTGGGTAAACGATGGATGATTTCTGAATCATCAGCGATACAGGAGATGGTGACTACGACCAATATATGGCCGATATGTAATAACAATTTTGGGAATTCCATGTCAGTATACTCGCTTTAGGTGTCTGTAATTTTTCGTTAAAAAGAAAAATAATAATGCAATGCAGTACAAGTTAATGAAATTTAATATTAATTTTTATATATACGAAAACGAAAGAATAGAGAAAAGAAAGAGAGAAGAAAGATAATTCCAACTTTTATCAAGAGGACTATATTATTTCGCCTTTTAAAATTGTTATTTGTATAACGTTTTATATATTTCTATATATATCTTCAACGAGAAATAAAAAAATAATTATTATTGTTTTTTTAACTTACTTTGTATATTATACGTGCTGATTAAAATACAGTTCTGTGCAGCAATTAATTATGTCGTCACAAAAGTCGTTATTATCAGAGATAGATAAGCGAAAATACCGTTTTGCCATCTCGAAAGATCACCGAATACTGGCTACAATGTCAATCTCTGATGTTTTGATAGCTATGTCGCGTAAATACAAGTGCCTCACGGAATAGACTCGTAATATTGTTACATATTTCTTTTTAAAAATTCGCGAATAAAAATATCCGCAGGAAGATTGTAGATCATAAATATGTGTTTGTTCATATGTTAATATTGAGAAGTCGTTTTCGTCAGTTGCACTTCTTTGAGTCAGATAATACATGAATAATATATTTATTATTAAATTCTGTAAGATCATGTCCATATAATCGTAAATGTCTTTTACCAAATGTTGAATTTTTCCTTCTCGATAACCTCGAGGTGCATATAGTTCCTGAGTTATAAACGATTGAAAATAAAAAGCTTATTGCAAATTAAACTTATAATTAACACAATTTTTATATATTTTTTCAAAAAATATATTTATAATGTACAAATTATAATCGTCAAATCATAGTTATTTGATTTCAAAAATTTACTATGAGAAATTAAATTTACAATTAGTCCAAGGTGTATTTTATAATTGTCAATTTTATATTAAATTTAGTATATTCAGCTACAAAGTGTGTTATACAAATATTTAAAAAAACACAGTAATGTAAAAATTATAAAACACATACGTAATTTACTACTAATTAAATGGCAGTAAAATATATTTTATATATGTCACAAAAAATAAAAATTATATTAATCACTGAAATCATACTAAAACATATTAATACAAACGATATATACTTGATATGAAATATATTATTTCGATATTTTAACGCTAATAGATTATGTATTAATTTAGATTCGTACGGTACAAGTAGTTTGAGCTAACTATAGTACCTACATAAATATAAAGCATACACGGAGAAAAATAAATTTAATAAAAATCCGATAAATATAAAATCTGTGATTATAAAATATATACCTTGTCCGGTTGTGCTCTTTAGTATAAAGGTTGGAAATAATGCCTTTTAATATTGCGATTGTAACATGAATGATCTATAAAAGTGATACAAAATATTCATACTTGATACTTTATATTCCAAAAAATTAATTATATAATGTAGACAAAAATATATGCAATAAATAAAATGATGAAAATGGGGGTTGTAAATAATATTAAACTTTGAAGAATAAACAGAAATTTTTATTCTATACAGTAATAAATAAAGTTTTTAGTACAATGCGACGTCATTATTTCATGTTTTTCATTCAAAGTCTAGCAACGATTATAATTATAATTATAATTAAAATTTAAGTACTTTATTAGCAAATGATACTATTATACATAATGTCCACAATGTATTATATATTTAATTTAAAAAATTTGTCCGCATGACCTCTATATCAAATGTAATAAAACTAAAGTGCGTTTATAAAAAATATATTACGAAGGATATCAAACAGCGCATCAAGTCTAATACTACATACATTATTTTTTAATTACAGAACAGTAATATGTCATATTATAATAGTATAACAATAATATGACATATAAATATATTTAACTACAGAATAGCAATATCTCACAAAAAATTTTATCAATAGCTTCCAGACTATTAATAAAATACTAAGTATTATAAAAATATTAAAACATTAAAAATATAATTAAAAATGATTAAAAAATGATTTAAAAATGATTTACAAAAAGGTAGTAATAAATAAAAATAACATTGTTTGAAAAATAATGTAGGTAATTGTATGTCATGCATCATTTGATATTTTTGATTGATCAAATCAATTGGTCACTTAAGTTTGATTTCTTCCAAATCGCTTTGTAAAAATATCTACAGACACTTTAAGATTATTTTTACGATTTTCTATTAGATTTATAATTTTATAGTTTGACAAACCGTTTGGATCTTGATGAAAAAAAGTTTCTGCGAATCTTTTCACCTGAAACAGATTATGATGTTAAGGATGTTTATCAATAACATGTAGTAATTTATTTTTATGCAGCTATTCTTTAAAATATAATGTTTTATTTAACATAGACAATAACAATAAATGGTATGTATATAAATATATATAATCCCTTAGCTGAGGAAGTATATATGTGTCGTAAGAAATTGTGTATATGTCTTTTTTAATATATATATATATATTGATATATATATATCAATTCATAATAAGGTAATATTCTTAGAATTAATTACTACCTTACAAAAATTCAGTTTATGTTTTAAACCACTCGCTAGTATTATTCAGTTTTAAACATAGCTCTTTATAAGATACAAATATAAACCCCAAAAATATGAACAAAATTAATTATAAATATTAATTTAATTATGTAAAGTTGCATTAATCTATAATTTCACGCACAATAAACGTTTCATTTAAGCGCGCTATAATTAAAGGATTATCAATAGAAAATCAATAAGTATGAATCTAGTATTATAAAATCTACCTTGGACATTTGTTCGTTAGAGAAAACATTCGTAATGATATTTTTTATCGTTAGACTTGTAGAAAATAATCTGTAAGAACAAAATAATATATTTATGTATAAGATACATTTATTTTAAAAATAGAATGTATATATTTGTAAAGATAAATGTATTACCTGGGATATATAAAATCAAAATTTGCTAATATGTAGTCAAGGACCAAATCGTTGCGTGCATGGTTTTCAAGAATTAAATTGAAGATCAATGCCTGCTGCTCATGGTTAAATAATGTAGTATTATATGCTATAATATTTAAATAGCTGATAATGATATCAGGATCTTCAGAGCAACTCAATATTTTCCAAAATTTTTTATCAGATGTTCGTTGATACAGTTCCATCATTTTATCCCAAGTAGTCTTATTAGCTACTGCCAAACCAAAGCAATACGTCCAATCATGCCACCATTGTGGAACTCTAAAATACATATGTGTCTATGGAAAAAATGTACATGCATTTCATACGCATAGCTAACGTTTTATTCTATCAAGTTTTGTGTTTCTGTCCGTTTTGTTAGGTAACTCTTATTCTGCAAAATTAAAAGTTTCTGTCGTGCGCTTCTGTCACTCTATATTTGCCACGTGACCATAACATTACGTGTGAACACAGTAAATGAATAAATAAATAAAAGATGAATCCATCGAGAGAAAGAGAGAAAGAAAGAGAGAGATTTGAAGAAATATTAAAAAGAATCGATTGCATTCATATGCATATGTGCGCGCGCATACGCAACACACACGCACAAATATAAATTATAAGATAATTGTGATCATAAAAAGAGTTACTTGTGAGTCTCAGGATCCGCGAAATGTTCGCTTAATTTAACGGCGGCTCTTCTCTTGCATTCCGCGTGACCGACGGTACATGCCCAGTGCGTGGCATCTAGCCTTAGCATCTTTGTGATATAGTCATCATCAGGATTTTCTTCGTATCCTACATGCTCAAGAAGCTTATCAAAGATTCCTACCATGTGTGACTAGAAATCATGAGATAATATTGAATTGTTGGTTTGTTGGTTTATTGTTTTGATGCTACATGCGAAGTGACGTGATTCATATACATATATACATATTTGATATATATATATATATATATATATATAATGCTTTGTTAAAACATTTACTATCATAAAAATCGTCCGGGCGAGCTTGCTCCCCACTTCCCCTTATGTCCATTTGTATTAATGTTAATTAACACATTTATTCCTACCATTATGCGATTATAAAACCGATCGCGACATAATTTATTTTTAGGTATGCATAGTATATAGGCATGCTGCTCGTTTTCACGTACTTTCTCTCTAAACAGGTAACTACAAATTTACCCTAAAATTTATCGTATTCCGGCAGTCAGTACGTTAATTTGTACGAATATAACGGACTCACGACATGATCGTCGTGCTCTTTAGTCCGTAGATTTATATTTAATAAAAAATTTAACTTAAGTGGTAGCTTGATTCCTTTTTAACAAAATTATATCACATGTATTTTATAAATTCAAAAATCCAATCTAAGTGGTAGCTTAATTTGTTCTTAACAAAATTATATCACAATATTACGTTATTTAGCTCAACCTATATAAGTGATATGTATAAAATTAAAAATCCAACCCAAGTGGTAGTACCACAATTTACAAAATACATTGCGTGTGCTTAGTGCCTTTTTTTACCTTTTTTGAAAAGGTAATTTTGTACTGATATTATGAGAATTAAGTAATAATTATTCTATACAACGGAGAATGTGTAAATAATTGGACAAATTAAAGAGCCAAATTTAACTCTACAAACGTCTTTTTCATCTTTATATAATCTGTTAATACATACCTTGAAACCTTTACTCTCTGGCAGTGAAAAGTACTTCTCATTCCGTCCTAATATTCGGAACATTGGACGCCATGCCACATAATCTTTCTCTCGTCCTAGGTAACTTATAAGATTCATAAATACGGAACTATCTAATTGGTCTTCCAGCAAAAAGGCAAATGCATCATCGACAATTTGAGCACGATTGAGAACGTGTATGTTCTTGTATTCCTCAGAGTTCAAGTAACGTATGATTCTTTCCATAATTGCGGTATCGTAATAGACACGACAGTATGCTGTCGAATTATCCATTAAATTTATTATTAGATCGTCTTTTGTTTGAAATTATCAAGGTATATTTTCAAATACTGACATTTTCATTATTGTAATAAACCAATTTTATGTAATTTACAACTTACAATTGTTAAAAAAAAAATTACATTTCCAATGTACATACTTTACCAATGAATTACCAATGTAATTCACCAATGTATCGAAGAAAATATATTAAGAACGTGAATATAATGTAAAACTTTCGTATTGATAAAGCAAATAAGATAGATATAAAAGAGCGTAAAATTTATTGATTTATATACCAGTTTGTTGTAGATTGACGATAATCCAACCTCTTGTAATAATTTGCACTCTAAGAATTTCATCTGGTTTTAACCAATTATTGGGCATAGTATTGGAAAAATACGGAAAGTCCTGATAAGTGTAGGATATGGGTATCCACCATTTATTATTGATATCTTCAGTTGCGTGGAAACATTTTTGTGTTATTGCCGCTTCAGCAGTTTCGTAATTCATCGTTACATTCAGCACAGGATAACGATTTTGGACTATCCACGTATCCATCACTTCTTTTATTCTGAATTTTTGATCTCGCATAGAAGAGACGTAAGAAGCTTCGTCTTTAGCACTTTGTATGGCGCTCCAGAAATCATCGGGAGTGACCGCCATATATTTCCTAAAGAAACATGACATTGTTGTTAGCTATAACACATATATACGTCGTATATATTTAAATTTATTATTACATAATCAAATGTGAGTATTAATGTACAATTTAATGAATACACATGTGGAAACTAAGAATGTAACTTAAAACTAAGCTTAGTCTAATTATAATTAAGGAATGTACGGTCTCTTCTAATCGAATAGCATTGGATATTGAATGCATAAGTTTATATTTCTGATATGCACTATATTTTCCAACGTAAAACGCAAGAAACATTATACTTATGATATTTAATGTTGCTATATATGTGATAACTGTAGTGAACTACATTATATACACATACTTACTTTGTAGCGAAATACTTGGTGATTCCTTTCCGAAATACCTCGTCGCCCACTGCATGATATAACATGCGCAATATAGCTGGAGCTACGATAAAATACACGTCATAAAATATATTGACTAGTAATACCTATAAAGCATATTTTGCACATAAAATTAATTGTAAGACATATATGAACGTATTGCGCAAAAAGATAATTTGTTGTCTATCAACTTTTGATTCCACCTTTTTCTTCGTGCTATCTGCATTAAGCTATTTATTTTATTTACATAATTTTACCTTTTTTATAAACTTCATCACCAAAGAGTTGGTTATAATCCAAGGTATCGTTAAGTTTCAATGTAACAGACTCCAATGAGCTATCATCTAGATGGAGAGAATCGTGCATGGCCCCAGTAACGAAAAAGTCCATTGGCCGCCAGTCTTCAAATGTCTGTAACATCAAGAAAACAATCCTTTGATATGGCTGAATATAAAAATTCGAAGAAAAGTTCGCATTTATAGGGATATACAAACCTACCTGTCCGCCACTTTTAAAAATTTCGCTATTTTTATTTTTATTGTAATTTATTTATGTCAAATGTTAACTGTTTCATGTATATAATTTTTTTTGAGAAGATTATATTTTAATTATTTTTTATATATTGGACATTACTGAATACAAAAATAAAATCAAGATCTAAAAATTCTAGATGTTAATTTTGTTTTTGTTAAATATTTATTGTGATGGATGCGAAAAATACAATACGTTTAAATTCTAATAAAACTATTACAATAATAATCATTGTATCGCCAAATATAAAAATAATGTTGAAACGTAAGAGATTAAAAATAGCTGATCTTTAATATGGGCTGGGGAGGACACAAGTGATAAGAACATAATATTCTCGAATTTTAATAAAAATTAGTATTAAACGTTTTGTTCTAGTTATTCGCAGAAAGAACAGTGTTACAATCTTTTTTACAATTCTAAATTAAAGAATTGCCATTAGTTATTTAGCTCTGTCCTGATACATTTTATAAGAATATAGAAATATTTCATGGATGTTATTTTGATCTCAGAGAATGAACCGTATTTCCAACTTTTCTATTTAATGAGCAATTTATTGCATTAATAATATTAAATAACCTTGTTGAGGAAATACACTTGGAAGAACACAGCAAACCCCTCGCTTAGCCACAGGTCAGGCCACCAAGATGGGGTGATAAAATTACCGAACCACTGATGTGCGATTTCATGTGCTACTAACGACGCTATTTTCCTTCTCTGAAATGTAGGATCCTTGTTATCATCGTAGACAACTTCTGATTCGCTAAAAAACAAAACATAACACAATATTCAAAATGTGATTGTCTAATGTGTTTATATATATATTATTGAAAGAAAGGGTGACATTCACATCAATTAAATACGTTAATTTGTTTTAAAACAGCCTAAGAATGATAATATGTAAATGAAATTTAAATAGCCATAAAATACACATGTGTCTTTATCGTTTCTAATTATCAAATTTTGAATGCTAGAAGTCATTTAGTTCTAATAGCTTAATATTGATTTTTTTTATTCATGTACATATTAGTAAATCTCTTTAGTTATGAATATTACTCGTAAATGATGATTCCCCAATCTCCCATGCCGGTGAGCGGATAATTTGGTATTATGACGTGATCTACTTTCGGTACTCCTTTGGTTCTATCGGTATACTCCTCCAAGAGCGGCGTGATTTGTTCGGCAATAATATGCATGAATATTGCTTGCGATGTCAAAGACGATTTGCACCACACAGACACGGACGACACGGACTTGTCCTTGTTTTCAATGCGAGTGAAATTAGATACAATCACAATTCCCACGAGATAAGCTGACATTGTAAAAGTGCGATCGAAGTGTGTCCATTTCATATCATTTTTTACTTTGTACTGCTCTCGGATCGGCCAATTTGACAATACCGTGTATTTCCGATGATGCATCACGGAAATCATGAAGTAAGCTTTTATCGCTGGCTCGTCCCAACATGGAAACATTCGTCTGGCTTTATTCGGCATGAGGTGTGTTGCGGCCAACCTGTGATTTTAAACAGTTTTTTAAATAAGGATAAAAATACCACTCATAGTACAAACTTATCATTCATAGCGAGTAAGACACGAGAAGTTAAGAAACACTAGTTATTGTTTATATATTATATGTTTATTATATTATATGTAATTATTATTTTGTTGAGAGTAAAAACAGAAATGTTGTACTCTGCTATGTTGTTTTATTTTAAGCCAAAGTTAAATATTCTCTTAAACATTACATTATGCACTTTTTGCAAATACTTTATTGTAAATATACTTACATACTAGAAAACGGTTTTAATAATAAAGTGGATACACATTTTAGCTCTTTCGCCGAGCTTTATATATGGTGTAAGTCGATAACGATAAAAGTGATAAATAAAAAAAGGTAATAAGTAAACGTAACAAATAAATAAGGTAACACCAAATAGCATTTACGTACGTATACGTTACAAGTATATTTTTAATATTTTTAATATTTCCTTACGCTCTGTTATATTTGCTGTTTCCTTCCTCGTATGTGTACGGAATTTTTATAAAACCACCATTGCCTAGAACACCAGCCTGAGAGAAATTACCAGCAAACTTCATGTTCAGGTTGTAAGAACCGCGATACAATTGCTTTTCAAAATGTAACGATAATATATTCGTTTCATTGTCATAAGTATGTGCCATCGGTTTATAGACTATAGTATCGTTCATCAACGTTGTCGCCGTTTCATTTATTTCTAATCCTTGCGAGTGTAAGCTTATATAAAACGATTCGCGAACAATCTTGACAGTGACAATGGTTTCACCGTGAAATGTGTTGCCTTCTCTGAGATCCGGCGGAATAATCAGACTAATGTTATAATCAACTGGTATTGAATTGGTGGGTATACGATATATATATTTTGGATCTTTTGCATCATTAGCGATACAAAAGTTCGTGATTGTGGCCAATATTATGCCAATATGTAATAACAATTTTGGGAATTCCATGGCATGTCAATACTCGTCTTAGGTTTCTGTAACTTTTCGTTAAAAAGGAAACAAATAATAATACAATGCAGTACAAGTTATTGAAATTTAATATTAATTTTTATATACAAAAATCGAAGGAACAGAGGAAAAAAGGAAAGAAAAGAGATAATTCCAACTCTTATCAAGAAGATTATATAGACTTACTTCGCGGAAAATTATGAATATTTTTTTATAGAATGTTGGATATATCTTGATGTGCTCAGGATCAATTTATTCTGTTTTTCTTATATTTTTTTAGAATTAAAAGAAAATTATTTTGTTCAGTTTTCAAGAAGAATTTTATGAATCTATAAAGTGATGTATGTATATTTGATTTGACTATATAAAATATTTCATCGGAAGTAAGAAACGTAAATACATTTTGTTATATATGTAAAATTTGAATTATTTAGTTGTCGGTTATAGCAAAATTATTTTTTCTTATCATTCTTGTATCTTAAATATACCTGAAGGAAAATATATAAAAAATAATTAAAATTATTTTTTAAAGAACGAAAATAATCAATATTTTCCATTGTATGACCGTTTTATTTATTTGTCAATAACAATAATAATCTCGTCTTTTGTTTAATTTAAAATTTTTTCTACGTTCGGAACGTTATGTGTTTTAAGATCGTCTCGAAATTGTATTAAATCTTTCGTTTTCCAGTTTTCACTATGCAGCAACGATAAGAAGCAAAATATCGACTGATTAAGAAAATACATATTTAAAATAAAAATTTATCACAATCCATGAGTATAAGTAATCTCGAGGAAATAAAGTTAAATTTTATTGGGTTTTGTCTGTCGGAATTATTTTGAATTACGTTTTATATATTTATTTATATTTTCAATAAAATATAATACCTAATTAATTATTATTGCTCTTATTGACTTACTTTGTATATTACACTTGTATGCTGATTAAAATAAAGTTCTTTGCTGCAATTAAATAGGTTTGCGCCACGAAAGCCGTTAATATGAAAGATAGTTCAGCGTAACTGTCGTTCGACCCGTCCGACCATCTCGAAAGAACACCGAATACTGATGGTTACAATGTCAATCTCTGATGTCTTGATAGATATGTCATGTAAATACAGTGCCTGTTACATACGAAACTGTTCGACTCGTACCATTGTTACACATTTTTTTGAATATTTGTGAACAAAGATATCTACAGGAAGATCATAGATGACAAATGTGTTTGTTTATAATATTGAGAAGTCGTTTTTCTCAGTTGCACTTCTTTGAATCAGACAGATAATATCTGTATAATACATTAGCTTGATACCGTGCTTAGATACGGTAACACACATTTTACTTCTTTTTACTCTTATATAGGGGTCGAATTTCTAAAAATTGTTTCTTAGTGGGTGCTTACGTCATAGAAGGAATATACTAACCCAATTTCAATTTGTTTCTAGGTTTAGGGGTTTGGGCCGGACGTTGATGAGTCAGTCAGTCAGTCAGGACATTTTATCATTAAATACTGTAAGACTATGTCGATATAGAAGATGTCTCTTACCAAATTTTGAATTTTTCCTTCTTGATAACAAACATCGAGACGCATAGGGTTCTTGGAGTTGTAAACGACTGGAAATAAGGAGCTTATTAAAAGTTAAGCTTATATAATTAAAAGCAACTTTAATACATTTTTCAAAAAAGTTTATTTATATTGTATAAATTATAGCCGCCAAATTATAGTCATTTGATTTCAGAAATTCACATAAAATTAATAAGAGAAATTGAATTTAGTCTAAGGTATATATTGTAATTGTACTATATATTGTAAATTGTCACTTTTATATTAAATTCAGTATATTTTGCTTCAAAGTTATAAAAATATTTAAAGAGAGTAGTGTAAAAATTATGAAGTACATGCATACTTTTCTACCAATCAGATGGCAGTAAGTTATGTGTCATATACATATATCACAAAAATTCGAAATTGTACTAATAGGTAGAATTATTAATACAAACAAAATGTTACAAAAATATTTAGAAATAACATTAAAAATTAAAAATTGTTTAAAAATGTTTAGAAATAATAATAATACGTAAAAATAATATAAAATCTTATTTAAAAGTAAACATATTTTTTGCGCTTGATTTGAAACAGATTATTTCAATATTTCAACGTTAACAGAATATGTATTAATTTATACTCACAATATAAAAATAGTTTCAGCTAACTATAATAAATAAATGTTAAGCATACGCAGGAAAAATAATAAGATACGTATGTGGAATCTGTGTTCATAATATATTATACTTCGTCAAGTTCTTTAACAACGATAGAAATACATAATATCTTTCAATATTGAAATTGAAATGAGTGATCTATAAAAGTGATACAAAATATTCATACACATGATACATTATATTCCGAAAAATTAATTTATTTAATATAAACAAAGATATATGCAATGTATAAGCTAATAAAAAAAAGTTATAAATGATATTAAATTTTGAAGATTCACAGAAATACAATTTTTATTCTACAGATAATAATAACTACTGTTTAGAGATAAAGCTTCTTATTACAAAGCGACGCCATTATTTCATGTCTTTTGTTCAAAGTCTATCAACAATTATAATAAAAATTTATATTGAAATTTAAGTATTTTATTAGCAAATTACATAAATGTTTATAAAGTATTATATATTTAATTTAAAAAATGTATGTGCTCTATATCAAATGTAATAAACCAAAGTACATATAGTGCGTTTATAAAAGATATTTTACGAAAGATATTAAACAACATCAAATCTATAATACTATATAAATTATTTGTTAATTACACAACAGTAATATGTCATAAATAATTTTATTAATAGCTTCCAGACTATTAATATAAAATACTAAATATTATAAAAATATTAAAAAGTATTAGAAATAATAAAAAATAAATAAAATATTATTTACAAAACGGTAATAATAAATCAAAATATTATTTGAAAAATTATGTTGATAATTATATGTTTTCCATCACATTTGATATTTTTGATTGATCAGATCAATTGGTCACTTGAGTTTAATATTTTCCAAAATATTTTGTGAAAATGTCTATGGACTGTTTAAGATGATTTTTATGTTTTTCTATCAGTTTTGTAATGCCTGACAAAGTGTCTTGATGGAGATTAGTTTCTGCGAACTTTTTTACCTGAAACAAATTAATTGCAGATGTTTATCAATAATAACTTATTTTTATGCAGCGGTTCCATAAAATATAATATCTTTTAACACAATAATAACAATAAATATATATGATATACACAAAAATCAGAGCAAACATTGTATACAATATGTAAACTTGTATTAAATTTCAAGACTGAATTATCAATTTATAACACGGTAATACTTTCATAATAAATTCCGAAATGATAAAATTTCAATTTATGTTTTAAGCCACACGCTGGTATTATTCAATTTTACAACATAGTTTTCCTTTAAGATATAAATATACTCAGCTCAAAAATATAAACAGAATTAATTATTAATATTAATTTTATTATATAAAATTGCATTAATCTATAATTCAACGTACGATGGTTTTTATTTTAAGCGCGTCACAGTTAAAGGATTATTAATTGAAAATCAATAAGTAATGTAAAATCATAAAATTTACCTTGGAAATTTGTTCGTTAGAATAAACATTAGAAACGATACTTTTTATCGTTTGGCTTGCAGCAAATGATCTGTAAGAGCAAAATCACATATTCATAATTAATGTATACGATAAATTTATTTGAAGAAAATAGAATATATATATTTAAAGAGAAATGTTATTACTTGGGTTTTATTTTATCAAAATGTTCTAAAATATATTCAAGGATGACATCGTTGCGTGCATGGTTTTGAATAATTAAATTGAAGATAAAAGCATGCTCCTTATCGTTGAATAACGCAGCATTATATGCTATAATATTCAAATAGTTGATAATAATATCAGGATCTTCAGAGCATCTCAATATTTTCCAAAATTTCTTATCAGATGTTCGCTGATATAATACAAACACTTTATTCCAAGCAGTTATATTGGCTACCGTCAAACCAAAGCAGTACGTCCAATCTTGCCACCAATGTGGAACTCTGAAATATATATGTCTATGTAAAAGAGGTACATATATTTTATACGTATAGCCAACGTTTTATTTTATCAAGTTTTGTATTTTTCATCGTTCTATTAGATAACTATTATTCATGAAATTATAAGTTCTTGTTGTATGCTAATTCTACCACTCTATATTTGCCACGTGATCATATGACTACGCTACAGTGAGATAATTTTATCGATATTGTCACTTGTTATTTTTATTATACATATATATATTTTTACTTGTATCGCCATATTTATTCTGTGTATTGAAACAAGAATGGAAATTAAGGAAAAACAATAAAGAGAATGTCTCCAATTTTAACAACTTGATAGAAATAAAAAATAGAAATAGATATCTACAACCATATAAATATATGCATATGTGTGCACGCGCATACCCAACACATATAGGCGCGCACAAATACAAATTATGAGATAATTGGGATCGTAAAAAAAGTTACTTGTGAGTATTAGGATCCGCGAGATGTTTGGTCAATTTAACGGCGGCCCTTCTCTTGCATTCCGCGTGACCGACGGTACATGCCCATTTCGTGGCATCTAGCCTTAGCATCTTTGTGATATCGTCATCATTAGGATTTTCTTCATATCCTATCTTCTGAAGAAGCCCATCGAAAATTCCTGACACGTATGACTAGAAATCGTGAAATAATATTGAATTTTATATTGATTGGTTGGGGTACTTGCGAAGTGACGTGATTCATATACGGATATACATATTTCGTTCGTGCTTTGCTATAAAATTCACTATCATAAGAATCATCAGCGAACTTGCGTTCGACTTTCCCTATATTGTCTATTTGTATTAATGTTAATCAACATGATCGCTACTATTTTGAGATTAAAAATTGAAGATACAACTATAAACTTATAAACATTATTTTTATCTTTATAAAATTTGGTATTATCTACCTTGAAATGTTTACTCTCTAGCAGTGAAAAGTATTTCGACAACCGTTCTAAAATTCGGAACATTGGACGCCATGCCACATAATCTCTCTCTCGTCTTAGGTAATTTATAAGATTTTTAAATACGGAGTTATCTAGTTGATCCTCCATTAAAAAAGCAAATGCATCATCGATCATTTGAGCACGATTGAGAACGTGTATGTTCTTGTATTCCTCAGAGTTCAAGTAACGTATGATTCTTTCCATATTTGTAGTATCGTAATAGACACGACAGTATGCTGTCGAATTATCCATGAAATTTATTATTAGACCTTTTTATTTGAAATTATTAAGATATATTTCCAAATACTGCCATTTTATCATAACTAACAAACTAATGTAGTGTGCAACTTGCAAATATTACAGAAAAAATACATTAATAATTTAGCAAGGTTTCGAAAAATATAATTACATAAATTTCCTTGAGCTTTTTTTTTAATAGAGAAGTATATAAAAATTTGAATGATGTAAAACCTTTGAGACGATAGAACAAATAAGATAAATAAAAGAACGTAATATTTAATAATTCATACCAGTTTGTTGTACATTAACAATAATCCAATCTCTTGTATTAATTTCCACTCTACTAGTTTGATCTGGTCCTAACCAATTATTGGGCATAGTATTGGAAAAATCCAAATTGCTCTGGTCGGCGTAGGTCATGGGTATCCACCATTTATTATTGGTACATTCAGTTGCGCGGAAACATTTTTGTGTTACTGCCACTTCGCCTGTTTCGTAATTTATCGTTACATTCAGCACAGGGTAACGATTTTGGTTTATCCACGTGTCCATCACCTCTTTTATTTTAAAATCTTCTTGTTGCATATAAGGGACATAAGGGGCCATCTGCAGAGCACTTTGCATGGCGCTCCACAAATCGTCGGGAGTAACCGATCCAAATGGACTAAATTTGGAAAATGACATTGTCATTAGCTATAATAATAATTACGACGTATGTGTATAAATTTACTATTATGGAATTAACGTGAGCATTAATGTACAACTTAATTAATACATAAATAAAAACTAAGAGTACGACTTAAAACTAACTTAATTAAATTATAATTACAAAGTAAAATATAGCCTCTAATCGAGCATTAAATATTGAACGCACAAGTTTATGTTTCTGATGTGACGTATGAATAGTTTGCAATACAAGAATACAAGAAATATTATACTTGTGATATTTAATATTGCGAAATATGATGATTATATTGTAATATAATTATATTAGACTACATTATATATGTATATACACTTACTGTTGTACCAAATAGTTGGTGACACCCTGTCGAAATATTTCGTCTCCCATTGCATGATGTAACATGCGCATTATAGCTGACGCTACGATAACAACACACGTCATAAAATTCCAATTAACAATATATATATAAAATAGATTGTACGCATAAAATTGAGGTATATGTGAATTATGCGCATTACTCAAATAGGAAATTTGTCCGCTGTTAATTTTTTGTTTCACCCCTTTTTTGTGCTACCTACATTAAAGTATAACGGACCATATAGTTTAACTATATTTACATAATCTTACCTTTGTTAAAAACATCATTATAAAAGAGGTCGTCATAATCTAAGGTTCTGTCAAGTTCCAATGTAACAGAATTTATTAAGCCAATATCTAAAGAGAGACAATGGTGTAAGCGCTCAATTACGAGAAGATCCATTGTTCGCCAGTCTCCAAATATCTGTAGAAAAAAATCCACTAATATATGACTAAATATAAAAATTTGAATAAAAGTTTGCAATAGGAATATAAACTGGTTTATTCGCAACGTCCAAAAACCTCGCTATTTTAATTTTTATTAAAAAATAAGATTAAGGTATAAATATTCGAGACGTTAAATTATTGTATTTTATTAAATGCTTATTGTGTGGCAGATGCAAAATTAACATATTTTTAGAATCTAATAAAACTATTATAATTACATTCTTAAGATCACTAAATGTGAATATAATGTTAAAACATATGACATTAAAAGTGGCAAATGCAAAAAACAAAATATTTTTTAATTTTATTAAAAATTTACATTAATAAATTGTTTTTATAATTGTTTGAAAAGAGAACGAGTTACTATTTTTTTATAATTCTAAATTAAAGAACGTGCCATCATTTACTTAATTCCGTTTTGATATACATTTTAAGAAGATGTGGAAACTTTTAATAGATGTTATTTTGATCTTAGCGATTGTTTCTTTATTTAATGAGTAACCTTGCATTAGTAATATTAAATAACCTTATTGAGAAAATACGCTTCGAAGAACGCAGAAAATCCTTCGCTCAACCACAGGTGGGACCACCAAGATGGGGTGACGTAATTGCCAAACCAATAATGTACAAGTTTATTTGTTACTAACGACGCTACTTCCCTTCTCCGAAATGTGGGATCTGTGCTTTCATCGTAGACAATTTTTGATTCACTGAAAAATAAAACATAATATAATATAAGTACAAAATGTGATTATGCATAGTTTTTCTCATCGTTAGCATACAGTCTAATATATGTTTCCAAGTAATTAATATTATTCATAGTTTTCTTACGCAAGAGAGTAAGTACTTTTTATATACGTATGTATATAAAAATGGAAAGAAAAGGTAACATAGACATTAATTAAATACGTTAATTTGTTTTAGACAATCTAAGAATAAAAATATATATCTTTTGAATATCCGTGAAATAAAGATGCGCTTTATATATATAATTATCAAATTTTGAATGCTAAAAGTCATTGGTCAGCTCTAATAACTTAATATTAATTTTTTTATTTTTTGTACATTACTAATTCTTTAAGTTATGTATATTACTCGAAGATAATGAGTCCCCAAGCTTCCATGCCGCTGACAGGATAATTTGGTATAACGACGTAATCGATTTTTGGTATTTTTTTGAAGTCCTGGTTATATTCGAGCAAAAACGGCATGACCTTTTCGGCAACAGTATGCGCGAATTTTGTTTGCGATGACAAAAACGATTGGCACCACACGTTCACGGTCTTGTCTGTGTTTTCAACGCGAATGAAATTATATAAAATCACGATTCCCACGAGATAAGTGGACATTACAGGAGTGGTGTCGAAAGATGTCCACACCATGTCATTTTGTTCTTCGTGTTGCTTTCGTATCGGCCAATTAGACAATATTCTGTATTTCTTATGATGTATGACGGAGATGTTGAAGGTAGCTTTGAACGCTGGCTCGTCCCAACATGGAAACATTCGTCTGGCGTTATTTGGCTGGAAGAGCGTTGCGGCCAACCTGTAATTTAATCAAATTTGTTAAATAGCGACAAACTTTCCACTCATGGCAAGTAAAACAAAAAAGTTTAGAGAACACTAGTTATTATTATATTATATGAAATAATTATTGTGTTTAGAGTAGAAACAGAGAAAAATGCTGTACTGCCATTATGTTTTATTTTCAACTGAAATCAAATGCTCCTCAAAATATTATGCATTTCTTGCAAATATTTTATTTAAAATTATCCTTGCATACGTTTTTAGTAATTACACAATTTCATGTTTAAGAAATGTCTTGCCGAGCTTTATGTATTATAAGTTAATAACGATAAAAATAATTAATAAAAGAAGATAATAAGCAAAAGTAACAAATAAGTAGCATAACAAATAACGTTTATGTTATAAGTATATTTTTAATATTTGCTTACGTGCGGTCTCCTTCCATGTCTGTGTACGGAATTTGCATAAAGCCACTTTTGTGATAATTACCCTCAGAAAAATAACCATCAAATTTCATGTTCAGGGTGTAAAGACCGAGCGGCAATATATTGTCAAAATCAAGCGTCAATATATTATTACTGTCATTAATATGTTTTATCGGTCTATAGATTATACCATGGCTGTTAATCAACGTTGTCGCCGTTTCATTTATTTTTAATTCTTGCGAGTGTAATCTTATTTTTGACAATGTGTAAACAATATCAATGATGACACTGGTATCACCGTGAAAGGCGTGAAAAGCATGGTTGCCGACATGCGGAATCAGACTAATGTTATAACTAACTGGTATTGCGTTTTTTGGTAAACGATAGTTAATTTCTGAACCAGTGATGCAAAAAACTGTGACTGTGGCCAATATTAAGCCGATGTATAGTTTTAGAAATCCCATCTCAGTACTCGTTTTAGGTATCTGCGTTTTTTTATAAAACAAACAAACAATAATACAATGTAGTACAAATTATTAAACTTTAATATTAATTTTTATACAAAAATAAAAGGAACAAAGGAAAGAATAGAGGAAAAAAATTTCAATTTTTATTATGAAGACTATATGTAAGATCTACTTCGAAATTATGAATTTGTTTCTCATATAATATTGAACATATTATAATTAAATGTGCTCATTACAATTAATTTATTTGACTATTTTTAATTATTTTCTTGGAATTACTTAAAAGAAAATTTATTTACTTAGTTTTCGAGAAGAATTTTAACAATAAGTAGTATATGTACATTTGACTGTATAGAATATTTCATCAGTCATCAGAAGTAAAGAAGCAAATACGTTTTGTCAACGTGTAGAGTATTTGAATTATTTAATTGTCGGTTATACTCAGCAGTTGTTTGGAAATATTTTATCAGTCATCAGAAGTAAATACATTTTGTTAATATGTAAAATTTGAATTATTTAGCAGCAAATAAAGGTGTGTTATCGTTGAAATGTTCTAAATAAAGAATAATTTAATTTATTGTGCTAAAAATGAGATATAACTTAGTATATTCGAAACGTCTATAATGTTTTGTCTATTTTTGGAGAATAAACTATAGAAGGTTTCAAGGGTAACATCTGTTATTTGCTTGTATTAGGCTCCTTGAATTTCTTAAATTATAATTGTTTCTCAGTTTTCAAAGAAATAGACCGAACAGTAAAATTAAAGAATAGACCAAGGATCTCTGAGTTATTTTTAAAACAAATTATTAATAAAATAATGCACAGTAACACGCATTATTCTATCAGTCTGATGTCATTTTAAATTATTGGTTATCTAAATTTTTTTCTTTTATCATTTCTGTAAAATAAAATGTTTCTGCACACTGAATACAAAATGAAAAATATATAGAAAATAATTCAAATAATTTTAAATCACGATAATGATTAACATGTTTTAAAATGTAACTGTTCTATTTATTTGTCAATAATAATAATAACCTCTTTTTCTGATTAAACTTAAAATTTTGTTCCACGTTCGGAACGCTGCATTAAAATATATAGTTTCGAAATTATCTTTTGTTTTCCAGTTCTTACTACGCAGCAGCAGTAAGAAACAAAATATCGACTAAAAAAACATATTTAAAATAAAAATTTACACTCTATAAGGAGAGATAATCTCGAGGAAACAAAGTTAAATTTAATCATGTTTCGTTTTTCGAAACTGTTGTTTCTATTACATATTATATATTCTACGTATATCATTAACGAGAGATAAATAATAAAATATTGTTTTTAACGACTTACTTTGTATATCACACTTGTGTGCGGATTAAAATACAGTTCTGTGCAGGATTAATTATGCGTGTCGCCACGAAAGCCGTTATTATCAGGAATAGCTCAGCGTAATTGCCGTCTTGCCATCTCGAAAGATCACCGAATACTGGCTACAATGTCAATCTCTGATGTTTTGATAGATGTCATGTAAATACAGTGCCTCACGGAACTGATCGACTCGTACCATTGTTACATATTTCTTTTTAAAAATTCGTGAATAAAGATATCCGCAAGAAAATAATAAATTATAAATGTATGTTTGTTTATACATGATATTGAAAGATCGTCTTTGTCAGTTGCCTTCTTCAAATCATTTGCATAATACTTGTATAATAGATTTTATTATTATCGTATTAATATCGTAAGATTATATCAATATAAAAGATGTCCCTTACAAATTTTGAACTACAAATTTTTCATTGTCGATAATGAACTTCGAGGAACATAGAGACCTAGAGTTATGAACAGTTGAAAAACTTTTTGCAGAAATACTAAATAATAACAATTAATATTAAATGAATCATAAAAATGACATAATACGAATTTAGTTATAGATTTTAGTTATTTCTATTTAGTTAATTCAATTTAGTTAATTTCAAGTAGATTTCTTTACTTAGAAAAGTAAATATTTTGATTGTACAATTTAAATACGAAAAAATACATAACGTTGCAAGAGATGTTTACGATATCAAATGACTATCTCTCTCGACATTTTTGACAACAGTTAAGAATAATTGTTTCAAATGATTAAAGGAATTTAATAAAAGAGTGCGATTGATAATAAATATACTAAGATTAAATCCTCTTATAATTAAAATAATTTTGAAACATAACATAAACTTTAATATTTATTATCTTATAAATATCTGACGTATATAAGATAATAAAAATAAAAGTTATGAACAATACTAAATTTTGCAGATTTAATAGAAATACAATTTTTATTGTATAGTAATAATGACTGTTTCAATAAAGTTTTTTATTACAAAGAGACGTCATTATTTCATGTCTTTTATTCAAAGTCTAGCAACGATTATAATTATAATTATAATTAAAATTTAAGTACTTTCTTAGCAAATGATACTATTGCATAATGTCTACAAAGTATTATATATTCAATTTAAAAAATTTATTCGCAGCTCTCTATATCAAATGTAATACAACTAAAGTGCGTTTATAAAAGATATTTGCGTTTATAAAAAATATCAAACAACATCAAGTCTAATACTATATAAATTATTTTTTAATTACAGAACAGTAATATGTCATATTATAACAGTATAACAATAATATGACACATAAATATATTTAACTGCAGAACAGCAATGTATCACAGAAAATTTTATCAATAGCTTCCAGACTATTAATAAAATACTAAGTATCATAAAAATATTAGAAAATATTAGAAAATATTAGAAATAATTAAAAATGATTAAAAAATTATTTACAAAAAGGTAATAATAAATAAAAATAATATTGTTTGAAAAATTATGTAGGTAATTGTATGTCTTGCATCACATTTGATATTTTTGATTGATCAATTGGCCACTTAAGCTTGATTTCTTCTAAATCGCTTTGCAAAAATATCTGACAGCTCTTTAAGAATAGTTTTATGCTTTTCTATCAGCTTTATAATGCTTGACAAAGCGTTTCGATCTTGACTAAAATAAGTTTCTGCGAATCTTTTCACCTGAAACAAATTAAGATGTTAAGGATGTTTATCATTAATATGTAGTAATGTATTTTTACGCAACTATTCCTCAAAATATAATTTCTTATTTAACATAGACAATACATATGGTTTGCATATAAATATATTTAATCCTTTAGCTGTGGAAGTATATATGTGTCGTAAAAAATTGTCTATTTGCAGATATATATATATATATATAGATATATATATATCAATGTCAATAATAATTATAATCAATTATAATTGTTGTTTGACTTTTAATAAAAAACGCGAAATAATGACGTCGCATTGTACTAAACATTGTACAAAACTTTACTTAAACAGTACTCTAATTACTGTATAAAATAAATGTTTCTGTTAACTTTTTATAATTTAATATTATTCATAACTCTCTCACTTTCATCATCTTACACATTACATATTTTCGTTTACTTTATATATTTTTATTTCCTCCACTATACATATTTTATATATTTATTAATTTTTTGGAATATAAAGAGGTATGGATATTTTGTAATATTTATACTAAAAAGCAATTCTCTCTCTTGACAAGGTATATCTTATATTCCATTTATTATCCACATATATATATTAATTTTATTTATTTATCAGATTTTTATTACATTTATTTCTCTCTGTATATACTTTACATTTATTTATTATAGTTAGCTAAAACTGCTTTTATAATACAAATCTAAATAAATACATTAGCGTTAAAATATAGCAAAATAATCTTTCAGATCAAGCATATTCCGTTTGCATTAATAATTTCAGTTATCAACACAATTTGAAATTCTTGTGATATATATGTATGACATATAATTTTTTGCCATATATGTGATTGGTAGTAAATTATGCATGTGCTTTATAATTTTTACTCTACTGTGTTTCTTTAAATATTTTTATAATATACATTGTAGCTGAATATATCAAACTTAATATAAAATTGACAATTATATAATACAATTATAATATATACCTTAGACTAAATTCAATTTCTTTTATTAGCTTTGTGTGAATTTCTGATATAAAATGACTATAATTTATACAATATAAATATATTTTTTCAAAAAGTGTATTATAACTGTTTTAATTATAAGCTTAATTCTCAAAAAGCTTTTCCTTTTAAATAGTTTATAACTCAGGGACTCTGTGCGCCTCTATGTTTATTATCGAGAACAAAAAATTCGTAGTTCAAAATTTGATAAGAGACATCTTCTATATCGACATGATCTTACAGTTACTATTTAACGATAAATGTATTATACAAGTATTATCTAACTGATTCGAAGAAGCACATCAACTGACGAAAACAACTTCTTAAAATTAACATATAAACAAACACATATTATTTATGATCTATGATCTTCCTGTAGATATCTTTGTCCACAAATGTTTAAAAAAATGTGTAACGGTACGAGTCGAACAATTGCGAAATGCACTGTGTATTTACATGACATATATGTATCTATCAAAACATCGAAGATTGACATTGAGAGCAATCTAGCAAGCGACACAAGTTTTGCTTTGTTCGTTTACTCATTGCAAAAAAAAAAATAAGACGACGTTAGTGTCGACTTGTGTCGTTTGCTGGAAAGCTCCCATATTTTAGTCAGTATTCGGTGTTTGGACGGGTCGAAGGCAGTTACGCTGAACTATCCTTCATATTAACGGCTTTCGAGGCGATAGCGCCTAATTAATTGCTGCAAAGAACTGTAACTTAATCAGCATACAAGTGTAATACGCAAGGTAAGTCATTAAGAGCAATAATAATTAATTAGGTATTATATTTTGTTAAAGATACAAAGAAATATTTAAAACGTAATTAAAATAATTTCGACGGACGATACACGATGAAATTTAACTTTATTTCCTCGACATTACTCATGAATTGCGGTAAATTTTCATTTTAAATAATGTATTTTTTTAATCAGTCGACATATTTTGTTTTTTATCATCGTTGCTGCATAATGAAAACTGGAAAGCAAAAAATTTAGTATAAATTTCGGAACGATCTTGATACACATAACGTTCCGAACGTAAAAAAAATGTTAAACAAAAGACAAGATTATTATTGTTATTGACAAATAAATAGAATTAACGGTTATGCGATAAAAAATGTTAATTACTTTTGTTCTTTGAAATAATTTACATTATTTCCTATATTTTTTCCTTCAAGTATATTCAAGGCACAGAAATAATAACTATAATTCAAATTCTACATATTATAACAATATTTACGTTTTTTACTTCCAATGAAATATTCTATATGGCCAAATAAAAAATACACACACATCGCGTTAGATGCGTAAAATTCTTCTCGAAAACTGAATAAAATAATTTTCTCTTAATTCTAAGAAAATATAAAAATAACAGAATATACATCCAATATTCTATAAAAAAATATTTAAAATTTTCCGCGAAATAGGTCGTACATATAATCGCCTTGATAAAAGTTGGAATTGTGTTTTTCCTTTTTTTTTCTTCTCTGTTCCTTCGATTTTTGTATAAAAATTAATATTAAATTTTAATAACTTGTACCGCATTGTATAATATTATTATTTGTTTTCTTTTTAACGAAAAGTTACAGAAACCTAAGACGAGTATTGACATGGAATTCCCAAAATTGTTATTACATATCGGTTTAATATTGGCCACAGTCACGGACTTTTGTGTCGCCGATGATCCAAATCCAAAACATATACATCGTTTACCCATCAACTCAACACCATTTGATTATAACATTAGTCTGATTATTCCGGATCTCGAAAAAAGCAATACTTTTTACGGTGAAACCAGAGTCACTGTCATCATTGTTCGCGAATCGTTTAACATAAGCTTACACTCGCAAGGATTAGAAATAAATAAAACGGCGACAACGTTGATGAACGATACTATAGTCTATAAACCGACGGAACATACTTATGACCATAAAACGAATATATTATCGCTACATTTCGAAAAGCAATTGTATCGCGGTTCTTACATCCTGAATATGAAGTTTGCTGGTTTTTTCTCTCAGACTGGTTTTGGCAATGGTGGTTTTATAAAAATTCCGTACACAGACAAGGAAGGAAACAAAAAATATAACAGGACGTAAGCAAATATTAAAAATATACTTTGTAAAGTACGTACGTAAAGGCTATTGTTGTTACCTTATTTATTTGTTACTTTTACTTATTATCTTTTTTTATTTACTACTTTCATCGTTATCGACTTACAACATATATAAAGCACGGCGAAACACAGTTTAGAATGTGTATCCATTTTATTATTAAAACCGTTTTTTAGTATGTAAGTATATTTACGATAAAGTATTTGCAAAAAGTGCATGTAATGTTTAAGAGAACATTTACTTTGGCTTAAAATGAAACGACAGCAGAGTAAAACATTTCTGTTTCTACTCTCAACAAAATAATAATTACATACAATATAATAAACATATAATATATAAACATATAATATATAAACAATAACTAGTGTTCCTTAACTTTTGGTGTCCTACTCGCTATGAGTGGTAAGTTTGTACTATGAGTAGTATTTTTGTCCTTATTTATAAAATTGTTTAAAATCACAGGTTGGCCTCAACATACTTCATCCCGAATAAAGCCAGACGAATGTTTCCATGTTGGGACGAGCCAGCCTTTAATCCTTTCTTCATGATCTCCGTGATGCATCATCAGAAATACACGGTATTGTCAAATTGGCCGATCCGAGAGCGGTACAACGTAGAAAATGACATGAAATGGACACACTTCGATCGCACTTTTACAATGTCCGCTTATCTTGTGGGAATTGTAATTGTATCAGATTTTGTTCGCGTTAATAACGCGGACCAGTCCGTTAATGTGTGGTGCAGATCCTCTTTGACATCGTCAGCAAGATTCGTGCATAGCATTGCTGAACGGGTCACGCCGCTCTTGGAGGAGTATACCGATAGAACCAAAGGGGTACCGAAAATAGATCACGTCATGGTACCGAATTATCCCAACGCTTCCATGGGAGATTGGGGAATCATCATTTACCAGTAATATTCATAACTAAAGAGATCTATTAATATGTACATAAATAAAAAAAATTAATATAAAGCTATTAGAACTGATGAATAACTTCTAGCATTCAAATTTTGATAATTAAAAACGATAAAAAACACATGTGTACGACTTTATGGATATTTAGATTTCATTTATATATTTTTATTCTTATTCTGTTTTAAAACAAATTAACGTATTTAATTGATGTAAATATCACCCTTTCTTTCAATAATATATATATATATCAATAATATATTTATATATATATATAAACACATTAGACTGCATACTAATGATGAAAAAAACCTAGTCATAATCATATTTTGAATATTATGTTATGTTATGTCTTTTAGAGAATCAAAAGTTGTCCACGATGATAGCAAGGATCCTACATTTCAGAAAAAGAATGTAGCTTTTTATGTAGCATATGAAATCGCACATCAGTGGTTCGGCAATTTCATCACCCCATTTTGGTGGACTGACATGTGGTTAAATGAGGGATTTGCTGTGTTTTTCCAGGCGTATTTCCTCGACAAGGTTGTTTAATATTACTAATGCAATGAATTGCTCGTTAAATAGAAAAGTTGGAAATGCACTTCATTCTCTAAGATCAAAATAACATCCATTAAATATTTCTATATTCTTATAAAATGTATCAGGACGAAGCTAAAATAACTAATGGCAATTTTTTAATTTAAAATTATAAGAAAAATTATAACACTGATCTTTCCGCGAATAACTAGAACGAAACATTTAATACTAATTTCAATTAAAATTCGAGAATATTATGTTTCTCGAGAATATTATATTCTCAGCACTTGTCTCCTCCCAGCTCATATTAGAGATTTACTATTTTTAATCTCTTATGTTTCAACATTATTTTTATATTTGGCGATACAATGATTATTATTGTAATAGTTTTATTAGAATTTAAACGTATTTTATTTTTCGCATCCATAACAATATAAATATTTAACAAGAAAAATTTAACTTCTAGAATTTTTATATCTTGATTTTATCTTTGTATTCAGTAATGTACATTATCTTAAAAAATAATTAAAGTATGATCTTTTCAAAAGAAATTCTATACGTGAAACGGTTAACATTTTACATAAATAAATTACAATAAAAATTAAAATAGCAAAGTTATTAAAAGTGGCGTACAGGTAGGTTTGTATCTCTATATATGCGAATTTTTCTTCGAATTTTTATATTCAGCCATATCAAAGGATTGTTTTCTTGATGTTATAGACATTTGAAGAATGGCGGACAATGGACTTTTTCGTTACTGGGGCCATGCACCATGCTCTCCATCTAGATAATGGCTTATTGGGTTCTGTTACATTGAACCTTTATGATAACGATACCTTGGATAACCAACTCTTTGTTGATCAAGTTCTTGAAAAAGGTAAAATTATGTAAATAAAATGAAACTATCGTCCATGATTAGCTTAATGTAGATAGCACGAAGACAGAAGTGGAACAGAAAGTGAACAGACAACAAATTCTCGTTTGCGCAATACGTTCACATATGTCTTAATTTTATGTATAAAAGTATATAAAATATACTTTATATGTATTATTAATCAGTATTTTATGCTGTGTATTGCAGCTCCAGCTATATTGCGCATGTTACATCATACAGTGGGCGACGAGGTATTTCGAAAGGGTATCACCAAGTATTTCGCTACAAAGTAAGTATGTAGTCTATTATAGTTATCACATATAGCAACATTAAATATCATAAGTATAATGTTTTTTGCATTTACGTTGGAAAATATAGTACGCCATATCAGAAATATAAACTTATGCATTCAATATCCAATGCTATTTGATTAGAAGAAACCATACTTTGTTCCTTAATTATAATTTGACTACGCTAGTTTTAAGTTATATTCTTAGTTCCCACATGTGTATTAATTAAATTGTACATTAATACTCACGTTTGATTATGTAATAGTTTTAAATACATACGTCGTATGTGTTATAGCTAACAACAATGTCATGTTTCTTTAGGAAATATATGGCGGTCACTCCCGATGATTTGTGGAGCGTCATACAAAGGGCTAAAGACGAAGCTTCTTACGTCCCTTCTATGCGAGATCAAAAATTCAGAATAAAAGAAGTGATGAATACGTGGATAGTCCAAAATCGTTATCCTGTGCTAAATGTAACGATGAATTACAAAACTGGTGAAGTAGCAATAACACAAAAATGTTTCCGCGCAACTGAAGATATCAATAATAAATGGTGGATACCCATATCCTACACTGACGAAAGCTTTCCGGATTTTTCCAATACTATGCCCAATAATTGGTTAAAACCAGACGAAACTCTTAGAGTGCAAATTAATACAAGTGATTGGATTATCGTCAATCTACAACAAACTGGTATAAATCAATACGCTCTTTTATATCTATCCTATTTGCTTTATCAACACAAAAGTTTTACAACATATTCAAGTTCTTAATATATTTTTTTATTAAAAAGAAGCTTTAAAATTTATATAATTATAATATTCTTTGATACATTAGTAAATTACATTGATAATTTATTGGTGAAGTATATTGGTAATGTACATTTTTTTGTAACAATTGTAAGGTGCAAATTACATAAAATTGGTTTATTACAATAATCAAAATGTCAGTATTTGAAAATATACCTTGATAATTTCAAACAAGAAGATCCAATAATAAATTTAATGGCCCGGATAATTCGACAGCATACTGTCGTGTCTATTACGATACCGTAATTATGGAAAGAATCATATATTACTTGAGCTCTCAAGAATACAGGAACATACACGTTCTCAATCGTGCTCAAATCATCGATGATGCTTATGCCTTTTTGCTCGAAGATCAACTAGATAGCTCCGTATTCATGAATCTTATAAACTACCTAAAACGAGAGAGAGATTATGTAGCATGGCGTCCAATGTTCCGAATATTAAGACGGAATCAGAAGTACTTTTCACTGCCAGAGAGCAAAGGTTTCAAGGTATGTAATAACAGATTTTATAAAGATGAAAAGAATTTTGGCTCTTTAATTTGGAAAGTTCTGCATTTACACATTCACCGCTTTGTCATAAAGTCTGTCGCGGTCGGTTTTATAATCGCACAATTGTAGGAAACGTTTTAATTAACATTAATACGAATGGACGTTAGGGAAACTTAGCAAACTCACCAATAATACTTGTGAATTCCAGTGAATGTTTTAACAATTAAGGCACTAACGAAATATATATATATATATATATACATACCTATATATACATACATACATATTGTACATATGAATCACGTCACTTCGCATGTAGCAACAAACCAATATAAAATTCAATATTATCTCATGATTTGTAGTCATACATGGTAGAAATCTTTGATGGGATTCTTCAACATGTGGGATACGAAGAAAATTTTGATGATGACGATCTCACTAAGATATTAAGGCTAGAGGCCACGAAATGGGCATGTACCGTCGGTCACGCGGAATGCAAGAGAAGCGCCGCCGTTAAATTAAGCAAACATTTCGCGGATCCTGATACTCACAAGTAACTCTTTTTATGATCATGATTATCTCATAATTTATATTTGTGCGTGTGTTTGTGTTGCGTATGCGCGAGCACGCGCATGCATATGGATGTAATCGATTCCTTTTATTTCTTTGAGTCATCGAAATCAGACAGAGTCTCTTTATTGTTTTTTCTTAATTTCCATTTTGTTTTAATACATAGAATAAATATGCGAAACAAGTAAAAATATATGTATATAATAACAAGAGACGTTATGGATAATGGATTCATCTTTCATTCATTTATTCATTCACTGTGCATGTTTACACGTAGTCTTATGGTCACGTGGCAAATATAGAGTGACAGAACAGCACACGACAGACACTTAATTTTGCAAAATAAAGATTTACCTAACAGAACGGAAAAAAATACAAAACTTGATAAAATAAAACGTCGGCTACGCGTATGAAGTGCATGTACCTCTTTTTCATAGACTTATATGTATTTTAGAGTTCCACAATGGTGGCATGATTGGACATACTGCTTTGGTTTGGCGGTAGCTAATAAGACTACTTGGAATAAAATGTTGGAACTGTATCACCGAACATCTGATAAGAAACTTTTGAAAACCTTGATCAATTGTGCTGAAAATCCTGATATTATTATCAGCTACTTGAATATTACAGCATTATTTAACCATGAGCAGCATGCATTGATCTTCAATTTAATTCTTGAAAACCATGTACGCAACAATTTGGTCCTTGATTACATATTAGCAAATTTTGATTTTATATATCCCAGGTAACACATTTCTCTTCACAAATATACATTACATTTTTTTTAAATAAATTTATCTTATATATACATTAATTATATAAATATATTATTTTGTTCTTACAGATTACATTCTACAACACTAACGATACATAATATCATTCAGAATGTTTTTTCTAACGAACAATTGTCCAAGGTAGATTTTATGATTCTAGATTCATACTTATATTTTTTCTATTGATAATCCTTTAACTGTAGCGCGCTTAAAATCAAACGTTTGTCGTGAGACGTAATGAATTTTGGAGAACGTTTATATACATATATATATATATACATATATATATATATATATATATATATATATCTTCTGCAAATAGACAATTTCTTATGACACATATATACTTCCGCTGCTAAGGGATTAAATATATTTATATGCATACCATGTATTGTTATTGTCTATGTTAAATAAGAAATTATATTTTAAGGAATGGTTGCATAAAAATAAATTTATACTACATATTAATGATAAACATCCTTAACATTCTAAACTGTTTCAGGTGAAAACATTCGCAGAAACTTATTTTCATCAAGGTTCAAACTCTTTGTCAAACATTGTAAATCTGATAGAAAAGCGTAAAAATTATCTTAAAGAGTCCGTAGATATTGTTACAAAGCGATTTGGAAGAAGTCAAACTTTAATTGATTTGATCCAGTATCAATTGATGAAATAACCTTGATCAATTAATCTGATCAATCAAAAATATCAAATGTGATGCAAGACATATATAATTATCTGTATAATTTTTTAAATAATATTATTTTTATCTATTATTACCGTTTTGTATATAAATAATATTTTATTCATTTTTAATTATTTCTGATACTTTTTAGTATTTTTATAATATTTAGTATTTTATTAATAGTCTGGAAGCTATTGATAAAATTATCTATGACATATTACTGTTGTGTAATTAACAGATAATTTATATAGTATTATAGATTTGATGTTGTTTAATATTCGTAAAATATTTTTTATAAAAGCTCTAAACGCGTACTTTGATTTATTACATTTGATATAAAGCGAATAAATTTTTTAAATTAAATATATATATAATGCTTTGTAGACATTATGTAATAGTATTATTTGCTAATAGAATACTTGAATTTCTCTTAATATAAATTTTTATTATAATCGTTGATAGACTTTGAAAGAAAGACATGAAGTAATGGCGTTACCTTGTAATACGAAGGTTTATCTCTAAACAGTGGTTATTACTATCTATAGAATAAAAATTGTATTGAATCTTCAAAATTTAATATTGTTCATAACTTTTTTTTATCTTATACATTGTATATATTTTCGTCTATATTAAATAAATTAATTTTTTGGAATATGATATATCATGTATGAATATTTTGTATCACTTTTTCAGTCACAATATTGAAAGATATTATATATGTATTTCTATCGTTGTTAATATTTTAAAATTTCTTTACTTATACGTATTCCTTATATTTACTTATATATTACATATTATTTTCTTAAAAAGAAAAAGATATATACAAGTCAAAAAATATAATATTATAAGAGAGCGTTTTATAAATTAAACTGATTTTACTGAATGAACACTCAACTTTGCTATTTTAAATTGTCATGCGTAAGTGTGTTTAACATAAGTATAAAATTAGTGATGGAATAAACAAAGATAGAACTGTACGATTTGGTAGTTAGGCAAATTCAAAATACATATTCATGTATTTGCATACATATATTGCCAATAAAACAACCATTCTCTCTTTAACCCTTCGTAGTCACACTGGGTCAATTTGACCCACCCTTATTTGGATCTAAATATCAGCTAAATACCTAGCTTAAAATGGGGCTTGGTTCGCCATCTACAAGAGTTTGAAGTATCCTCTATAGGTAGAGACCGTTAATCATGTACTCATTCACGACTTTTTTTCAATATGTTGCCATTTGATTTCTCACAAAACCGCAGTTGTTTTATATTCTAGAATGTTCAAGGTATGTTCCAGAATTATTTAAACCCGATCGGACCGATACTATTAAAATGGCAACCGTTAAAAATCGACTGGGTCAATATGACCCAGTAAGACTAGAATGGGATTCTAGAGAAGTGTGACTACAAAGGGTTAACTCTTGTGAGCAGTTTTTCAAATGCTTGTTGAGATCATTTCTATACTATTTAGTAACAGATATCCTGCAATATACGGACGGATGTAATGAAATTACCGAAGCAACGAAAATGCAGCGTGTTGTGGATTATTTCGAAAAATTGAAATGTTTGCTCGCAAAGTGCAAGTATTGTGGAGAAGAAATTCGGTTACCTTCGCCAACTGCAGTTCTAACAAATTTAAGAACACACTTACTAAACATACATGACATGACTCCCGATAAAAACTGCACAATATCTCACAAGCTGCGGCAATATTTCACAGACTTACCAAAATATGAGGCAAAATGTAATAAATGTGTTTCAATAACATCTTATTTCAAAACCACTGCATGGGAATTTAAAACAACATTTAAGAAGAATACATGCTGAGTTGATAAGTCCGAGTCAACATGATTAAGTACACATTCAACAACTTATTAAAGAATTACATAAAATAAATGTATTAATAAGTAGAGCGGGTAAAGCTAAATAAAAAAATCTAGTTTTACGCTCTTCTTAATAATTAATGAGAAATTAATTAATAAATATCTACGAAGAAATGTGATCATCTACGTGATCCAGTGGCACCAGACAACGCAGCATTACGCGCCGCATTATTCACTAGAATTGCGCTCATTTCAGTGCTTCGGCGCTCGTGTTTCTACCTTATAGCGCGCTTACACTCGTCGCTGAATCATGCGATTGTACACCGATTGGCATATCTTTATTAATTAATTTCTCATTAATTTTCTTTTATTTTAATCGGCTCTACCTTTCTACGACAGGTAATACGGTAATTAGCAGATATCTCGTACATGTAACACATACGCATAAATACATATATTGTATATGTATAAGTACATTATCTTACATAAATATACATGCACACACACTAATTATAAACAGAACGATGAATAAACAGAAATAAACAAAACACTAAGTCACAAGTCAGATAAAGCTGTTACAGAGAAGTCATCTGCTTTTCTTTCTCTCATTTCTGTCTATAATTTTGCAGTTACATAGGAATAAAATAATTTACGCGCATTCCGTAGAATGTAAAATACTCTCTAGCAATTTTTATAAAAGTACAATCTCACTGGTATGTATAGCAGTAAAGTGATTTTACTACCGATCGTATGTAAAATATATATATTCATATCATTTGTATTTTAAAATGTGCCATATACAAATTCGACTAATAGAAAATCTTATTCTCTTTTCTCCTTTTGTCTCTCATCTTTTTCAAACTTTTGCACAACTTTGTACAATATTAGTGTGCAGTAGAATGCCTTCACCAATATTTTTCAGAGAAATTAAAGAAAGATACACTTATTTTACATATTTTGCAGAAATAAAATTTGTAAAGGCATGTGAGACAGATGTTTATGCAGCGTTGAATAAAGGAGTACGCTCAGCAACACAGAAGACACACGGGGAGAATAATCCCAGAAAACTGAATTTCTGTTCACTCTCAGTCATCACGGTGTTCTGTTCACTCAGTGATCACGATAACATATAGTGCGAAGTGATCTTTAGTCAATTAGTTCATACGAAATTAATTATTAATTTTATTTGGTGAGGATGCTAGAACCAACTGACGTAATGGTATTAAATGTAACTGGAAGAAATTACGATATAACGGTATTAAAATTGTTAGATTATTATCGCAAGCTGTACACAGATATCCGCGAGACTGCTTATTTGAAAGACTTCACCGAACTTAAAACGTTCGATAACACACTTAATCCAAAATACATTATTCGGGATACGCTGATAACATACATACGCAGTGTATGTGATATTTATAAACAACCGCATCTTTTGCAAACATATTATTTTCTGTATACCTCTTTCGAAGATGATAAGACATACTCATTTGAATATTCCAACAATATGTACTTTAGTGAAGATATCACAACTCTATGTTTTTTACATCACATATTAAATGATTGTCAGAGTGACGAGTGCGAGGTAGTACAGGTTTTGATGTCACTAATGAAAAATAAGTACGGGATAGATATTGAAAAAGAAATGAGAGAGAATAACATAGAATCAATACGAGAGAAAAATAGAATCACATTATTTGATATAGCATTTTCTTACCCAAGTGTATCATGTGATATGTGCATCGATATGGGCATATATAACACATGGTTTGATAAATTTTCTAAGTTTAATCTTCCGAAAAGAATCTTTTTATCTCTGATTATTCCCGTTCTTCCCATGTTAAAGCAAAACCCGCCTTTTGCAATACTTTTGGTTACAGCACTTAAATTATTACAAGAAAAAGGGAAAGATATTAAAAGCATTTCATTACATACAATTTTTTTTCAGATTTATGTATCTTATAGGCGTTTAATATTTCCTCAAGATTTAAAATTGGAATTATGTATGAAATGGGAAATCGTGGTAAAGGAAAAAAATGTATATAAATATTCTGATTGTTTTGAAGCATATCGTCGAGAAGCTAAAGCTATAATAGCAGAAATAAAGTCGAACTCAGCCGATCGGGACTTAAAATCTATTCTCCGTTGATTATAATTATGAGTTCATTTCTTCTCTATTAGTCTATTATAGATATAAATAATTAACGCCATGTTACAAGTATTCGCAACTGCATTTTACGATTAGTAAATGATATATTTGTATTGCGATATATTTGGAAAATAAGAATTTTTTATTTTAACAATGCATCTTTATTTTATTAAATTATATTATTATTTGATATACTCGTGACATGCGCTAGTAATATTTTAGCGTGAAATTATTATTATTAACTAACTGATTCAACGTAGTCTATAATTCTGATTAATTTTGTAATTTAGTTCGTACCCCCCTCTCGGGGAGTTGTGTTTTACGTGATTATATTGACTAGAATCATATTCATATACATATGCGATTAAAATAATTTAAGAAATATGTATTGTGTTTGTAATTTTTAAATATGTTTCTCATCATTAGCGTTATACATTTTTTATAAAGTAATTCGACAAAAAAATACAATACAATAAAAATAATATGCATTTTGTCGGCACTATGTCACGGACACACATCAATGTAATTTTATTAACCGCAATTGGTGTAACATTCACTGTAGACTATAATTTTTAATAAATTTATAATGTAATCGCCAAATCTATTTTTTTTACTCTAACAGAAGTCATGGCTAAATCATAAACATAATTTAATAATATAAGAATAAGAGAGATTTAAAAAATGAAGCAAAATGATTACCATGAGAATCGTGACCTCGAAATCTTCCCTTCATTTTATTCAAAATGTATCCGATATATGAAGGAAAAATTGAAAAAAAATGAAACTTCAATTCGGGAGCGACCTAGACTTTTAAAAACATGTGTTTTTGTACACAGGAAAAGTGGAAGAATATTCAAATATCAGTGCTCTAACAATATGACTTTTCACGATGATATCTTGATTATATGTTATCTGAATCAAACGTTATGTAGACGTCGTCGTTGGCACGCAAAATGCGAAATAATGCGCACTTTAATAAGAATAATGAAAGATATAAGTACAACATCAACCTTGCCACG